ACCTTTTGTGTGCAAAGAAAACAAAAATATCGACTTTATTCAACAATTCTTCTCCAAGTGACCATCTTCCGCCATTATCGAGAGTGCCAAAATCTATCAGTTGACTGGATAGTTTAGATACAACAGCTTTAGAGCTAATCAGTCTTATCTACATTTTAACGGAGTTAAATACAAGGTAATTTGACTCCAGTCTAAGCTTGAGTTCCTTGATGCAAGTTGTTAATGTAGGTGGAAGAAAACACTGAAGTGGAAGGTGTGCTAAAATAAATCTGAATGTCATCAGCATAACAGTGGAAGTTAAAATATTAGCGTTTGATTATTTGTCCAATTGGTAACAATAATAGTGAAAAGAAGAGGCCCCAAGAGAGAACCTTGAAGTACACCAGAACTGATGGATTTGGTGGATGATTTGTGCTTCTGTTATATAAAAAATTGTTGCCTCCCTGTCAGATAGGAGGAAAACCAGTCAAAATCTGTGGCAGAATTGCCAGTTGCTGAAAGCCATGACAGGAGTATCTTATGACAAACGGTGTCAAAAGCTGAGCTGAGGTCTAACAGAAGGAGAGTGCTAAGAGCGCCAGAATCACAAGCTAGAAGGAGATCATTAAGAACCTTAACCAGGGCTGTTTCAGTACTGTGTAGCCAGACTGGAAGGGCTCATAGAGGTTGTGTGCTGTTAAATAGGCCTGTAACTGGGAGGCAACAACTTTTTCTAATATCTTAGAGAGTTGTACACGGAAGCAGCTCCGGGCGGATAACGTATGAGGTCAGCGTTGCGCATGCGCCGGTGAGTCTCGTGAAAACATCTCCAGGTTACGAATGTAACCATGGTTCCCCGAGGGAACGAGACGCTGCGTTGGAAACGCTTTGGGAACGCCCCCAGCGTGACCAAAGAGTTTCTGACGCAGCTCGAGTTCCTGAAGGGGAACGTCTCCAGGTTACGAATGTAACCATGGTTCCCCGAGGGAACGAGACGCTGCGTCGGAAATGCTTTGGTCACGCTGGGGGCGTTCTCAAAGCGTTTCCGACGCAGATCGAGTTCCTGAAGGGGAACCAACATTTGTTAACAGGAGCAAAGGAAGCAAAGTTTCCTTACTTTAGCAAAGGAAAACCAGTCTCCTCTTGGCTTATATCGAAATCCTCTGACATTCTTCTTTACAAATCCTCGTTTTGTACTTCTCTCCAGGTTACGAATGTAACCATGGTTCCCCGAGGGAACGAGACGCTGCGTCGGAAATGCTTTGGTCACGCTGGGGGCGTTCTCAAAGCGTTTCCGACGCAGATCGAGTTCCTGAAGGGGAACCAACATTTGTTAACAGGAGCAAAGGAAGCAAGTTTCCTTACTTTAGCAAAGGAAAACCAGTCTCCTCTTGGCTTATATCGAAATCCTCTGACATTCTTCTTTACAAATCCTCGTTTTGTACTTCTAATTCGTAACTTCTGAGCGGCGCATGCGCAAAGCCGACCTTATATGTCATCCGCCCGGAACTGCTTCCGTTCACAACAGTGAGCGCAAGCTAGATTAAATTGATTATTACGTTTTGAATATGGACTTTTTTTTATGGAAGGGTGCTTTTTATTTCATGTCTTTTGGACTGAAGCAATGCAACACCCGCTGAATACAACGATAGAGCTTGAAAGATCAAAGACAATTTTCAATATAACTCCGACTGGATTCGTCTGAAAGAAGAAAGTCATATACACCTAGGATGACTTCTTACAAAAACGCATCGATTCGCTACAGGAGGCCTTTGTTCACCCCCCGGAGCAGTGTGAGACACTTTTTATTATGGATGGGCGCTTTTTATTTCACTTCTTTTGGACTGGAGCAATGCAACACCCGCTGACTGGCATTAAACAGCTTGAAAGATCAAAGACAATTTTTTATATAACTCCGACTGGATTCATCTGAAATAAGTAAGTCATATACACCTAGGATGCATTGAGGGTGAGTAATTTATGGGCTAATTTTCATTTTTGGGTAAACTAACCCTTTAAGCTTAGATGGTACAGTTCCAGATGACATTGATGTATTAATGAAATGAGTGATGGGTAGTGACAAAGCAGTCAAGCAATTCTTCGGTAAAGAGGTAGGTGATAAAAAAAAAACATACTACCTTACTACCTTTTTTTATTGTTATCTTATTTGAATGGGGTGGATATTGGAAATAGAAGGCCAAGTCAAAAGCATTGCAATATGGGATACAATATTCTGTACACTGTGCTCTGTTGTGTATACTACTAATTTTGGCAGATGTCATATGCCATTCAGATATGCTTTTCATACAAAAAAAAAATCACTCTGCACAGTGTAAATACTATTTACTGCATACATTGTAAGAGTAGAGTATGCTAATCAAAACATAACAACCGTGGTAAACCATTACAGGTCATGATGTTCGTAATACAAGCCAAGGAAGTGATGAATCAAGGCTGCCTTGGCACTAATTGCAGACACATAGCGAATCTCACAGGAAGCATCAGTTGGGCTGTGACGAATCTAATTCAGCACAAATGTTTATCCCGATGTCGTATTCTCAAGCATGGCAGATTGGAATGTGCCCAATCTAACACCTGGACCAGTAAGCGTCACATCGATGATGACAGATTTTCACTGGGGAACACATGTTTATTGATGTCAGCCCAGCTGACTGGCTAATATTGTGTAAGATGTGCCAATAGGGGATGGGGAACTATAAAACTTTGGACTACCTTCCACAGCTTCATTTGCAATTGTCTGTCAAGCAGTGTCCAGAGAATATAAGCAATCTAGATGACTTTTATTGCATTTATTGAATGTCTTTTTTCTCTATCATTCTAGTAATTTCAATCTAGCGCTATATTGAAAAATTTTTTTTGAAAATCACTTTCACAGACTTTTTCATTAACTGTTCCCTCCTGGTGGACTGACCTGCCCAAATCAATCCGAGCAGCTGAGTCCTTAACCATCTTCAAGAAACGACTAAAAACACATCTGTTCCACCTTTATTTGACCCTCTAACACTTTCTATTCTATTTTAATTCTATTTTATCTATATTAATATTTTCTTTATTTAAAAAAACAACAAGAAACAAACACTAGCTTTCTATTTTTTCTATTCTATCTACTTGTTTTTCTTTGTGTGTGTGTGTGTGTGTGTGTATAATATATATATACACCTAGCTACATGTACTGTGTGTATATGTGTGTGTGTATAATATATATATATATACACCTTGCTACGTGTACTGCGTTAGGCTAACCGAGATTTGTCATTTGCACTTATATATTGTTGCTCTTTTGTTAGTTTTGACTGCTTTTATTGTCCTCATTTGTAAGTCGCTTTGGATAAAAGTGTCTGCTAAATGATTAAATGTAAATGTAAATGTAAATATTGGTTTGTAACAAAGGTTTTGACAGCCACATTATTCTCTGGACGATCTGGGTACTGGTAGGTCCCAGGTACTAGTCAGTTGGGTGTTAATTCGATACTACCTCTCTCAAACAGCTGAGTTCCTGTTCCTCCTGTGGGGTGTGTATCTGTGTTATGCGGTGAGGACCGTCCCCTCAGCGTTTCATGAGCCACGCTACATGGCCATCGCATTGCACAATGAGCTCATCCTCTCTGCCATTTTCCACATTTTAAGGTGAGTGAATGCCACCAAGGACTTCCTCATTGTTCTACAAGAAGTGGTGTGAACATCTCCCACCCGTCCCACATGCAAGTATTCTCTACTAAAGAAGTTGTATTTACCATTTAGTATTATTGTTAGATATTTACAGAAATGTTGTAATAAATTACTTTTATGAATTATACAAGACACAATTGTTTTATGTTTACTGTAAAGAAACAGACTTACATTTAAAATGGACATTTTATATAGTTGGACAAACTTCTGTCGTAAGCCCCATCCACATCTGGTTTCAACTACATACAGATATAAATAACTTACACATTATTACAATCATTGGGGACTGAGGCTTTCAAGTTCAAGACGATACAAAAGCACCATAAAATTAGTCTATATGGCTTGTGCTCTATATTCCAAGTAATATGATTTATGTGAAAATCTGATCTAAATATAAGCTGCTATTCTTTGAAAATCTCCATTTCCAATGGGATGTTAACCACTATGACGGCATCATTGAGTCTTAAGAACCGTCAATCTGTTTTATTAATGGAAAATCCTCCAAAGAATCATTCAAATAATTCAGAGGTTAGGATTTCTTCAAGCTTTGATGAAATTGAAATTCGTTCATTTGCTTTGAGATCCTTTAATAATCAGAACTAATTTGGATACTTGGCAAAATATACAGTCTCTCTTCGCCTGTTGCATTATTGCACTAAAATGATACAGTTAGCTCACTAGGTTTGAAAGGTTTTATCTTATTTATTCTTATCCCTTTTGCCCTTTCAGGCACACTTTTGACAGAAACCAGTGACATGACATCATTCGAATATCAATTCAGTTTAGTATTGATATTTTTGATTAAGCTATCAGCTCTGGCATTTGGGCAGTGGTTAAAACCCTCCTGTACTATTTGAACAATTTTATCGCTTTTTAGTTCTTATGTTAATTTTGAATGCATTTTTGAGGAAGCACAGCTTCCCCTGCCCGATGGACTGACACTGCCTTCTAAAGAGTCGGTTTAGGGTTGTGGAGCGTATGAATATCTTCAGCAGTAATGAGGCACTCATTCAGGCAGGGACTTGAACTCTTATACAAGATAAAGGCAGTTGACTTCAAAGGCAGGGCATGTGATTTTTAGAAGGGCTGCATCGCTTGCTGCTCTTTCCACTGTTTCTACAGTAATTAATCACAGTACAGAGCCATGGGATAGTGTTACTTAACTATCTGTATTTTGATGTAATAGCACCCAAGTCCTTTCATCATAAAAAGTAATTAGTGCATTGTGGGAGTGTTTTCAGCATACACAGGTCCTTTCTAGCTTACCTCAGGAATCTCAGAAGGTGATGTAACAACAATAAGAGGAAACCTTATTTTCTGCATATGAACGGACTTGTCCATGCTATTCCATGCAGCAGTGCATCTGTCATCTCAGAGGGACCATCAATTTCCAACCAGATTAAAAGAGCTGGAAGCAACAAATCTGCAAACCTCATTGCAAACATGGTGAAGGTGAAGACTGTGAAGTTCTACCTTCACAGATTGAGGCAACAATGTGGGTGCATCTCAAACTGCTCCCTAGCTCCAGAGTTCAGGAATCGGTATATTGTGTACCAATCCAGGCACTTGCAAGGACCCTGGCTCACTACATATTAGAACAGTGATTACTCAATGTCCGGCGATATGACTACATACAACGTTGTAGAGCATCACCACTGGCAGGACCCGTATCTTTTTGATATTTTTTAATGCTCTTTAAACACATTGTTCTGTTACATATCCTTACAACATTTCAGATGAATATTAATTATAAATGTTAACTACCAGAAAAATTGTTTGGCTTTTCAAATCATCTATTGTGTGTCATTACAGTATATTTGTTGAGTTGACTCATGCATTTTGTTCCGCACTTCAGAAATGTGACATAATTTCTGATAACAGAGAATAGTGATCGAGCATCGAAGCGCCCTGGTTTTTGTGGTGCATTGTGGGATTTTTCAGGAAACGAATGTTCCAGTGACCTGGAAGGATTTTGCAATTGAGACAGCCCTTAAAATGGCTGACTCCCTGATCTGTGCCCTGACTAGTAAACAAGGGAGCTGACTGAGACACACCCTGTATTATTTATGAATAACACTGTACCACAATACAATTGCTACAAACTCATATGAAAAATGTTCATTCAAAGATGGCAGGCAGCCATAAATACACTTTTGTTCAGTAGTGTAAAAACAGTGATAGGAAACACATCCATCTCACTAAAATGTTAGTTCAACCAAGAGAATCAAAGGATATAGAGTACTGAAGTGTTAGCTTAGCTATATGGTAATATCAGAGTTAACTTTTGAGCATCAATCGACGTTCATACTGAGATCTACTAGAAATCGATTTAAACTCAGTCATTGTGAATGGGGCTTTACTTGTGCAGTTCATGTGTGCCTCAGGAGTGCTGTTCATGTGGCTTGAGTTTAGCAAAGATGAGTTTAGCCTTTTAAATCACTCACTTAGTAGGTTTCATTTAGTAAAAATCCTGTTTTTGTAGGTACAGTAGGTGACCATGTAAACATGCAATGTTTTTTTTTTCAGCCTATTTCCAAAAACAAAGTAAAAGCTGTAGATGATTATAAATATTTCTATAAATCCACCCACAGGTTCACTCTTGCCCCTGAACTGCACCCAGACTGGATGTTGATGCTATTCTTTGCACATACACACTTGACAGTGACTGTCACTTTGGGGTTACTGCTTGTGCCAAAGGTAAACCCAGCAATCATCTTTCATCCTCTGAATCATTTGTTAGCTAAAATCTAATTTTACAGAATCTCTTAAGCACTCATGTCTTTCCCACAGTTCTTGTTTGCGGGTACACATCTAAGGGATGACATTGCTACAGAGGCCTATGAAGATGAATTGGACATGGGGCGGTCTGGGTCATACCTGAATAGCAGCATCACGTCCGCCTGGAGTGAGCACAGTCTGGACCGAGAGGATATTCGGGTAGGTGCCCTGCTTTCTTTCAGGCTTCCTTTTCTCCTCGACTCTCTCCTGTCTTAGCAAATAACTGAAATTTCATAATCTGCAAATATCTCTTGACCCCTTGTCCTTTAACTGACAAACATACTGAGCCATGGCAGTTTTTTATTGCAGACACCAGAGGAAATGGGCCAGCTAAGTTCTATTAATGGCTGTGGCGTAAGGTCTTGCGACAGTCTTTGGGAAAAACGTACCAACGTGAGCAGAGGTTTTTGTTTGTTTGTTAGAGCTGAAGAAGTCTCTCACCGAAGACCCAAATTTTGTTCATAGGAAGGGCATTTTGTTAATGGGATAAAGTTCTGCTCTTGGTATAATTTCCGTTGATAACTTCAAGACACAGCTGTACGAAATGATTTGAATTTCTTCAGAGGCTGTTTCAGACCTAACAATAAAACATAAAATTTTCATATTTGACACCGTCCCAGACTGTCCTGTCTCTAATTAGTGTAAACAGCATGTTGGTTTGGTCTAACGTCTTCGAGGCACTGTCTTTAGTTGCATATAATGACTAGTTTTGCATGTTTCCTGTGCAATAGAGTGTCTGCTTCACTGTAACTAGAGTCATTTCATTTTTACGCTTTTACATCTAGACATATGTCGTGAGTTAATGACCCATTTTGTCTTCAAATCCACAGGAAGAGCTGAAGAAGCTCTACTCCCAGCTGGAGATTTATAAGAGGAAAAAGATGCTGGCCAACAATCCTCACCTGCAGAAGAAGCGCAGCTCCAAAAAGGGCCTAGGTCGCTCCCTCATGCGCCGCATCACTGAAATTCCAGAGACAATGGGCCGCCAGTGTAGCCGTGAGGACAAGGACCTGGGTGAACATGGGAGTAATCGCAACAGTATCTGTGTCCTGAGAAAGAACCCTTTTGAACCCACACACTCTGTTAAGCCTGCCAAAGATGAATCCTTGAAGAGCAAAGTTTTCTCCCTTAAAAAGTCCCATAGCAGTTATGACCATGTCCGGGACCACAGTGAGGATTCCAGCAGTTCAATAACTGACAAGATGGAAGTCGCAAATACAGAAGGCTCCCTTCTCGAAACCCTAATGGGCAAGAAGCTGGTCAAAAAGTCCTCTGAGAAGATTGATGCAGCCAGCGAGTCAACAGAGTCGGTTCCCTTGGTGTGTAAGTCAGCCAGCGCTCACAACCTGACAGCGGATAAGAAACCTATTCACCCTAGAACATCCATGCTGCAGAAATCCCTAAGCGTTATTGCCAGTGCCAAAGAGAAAACTCTTGGTCTAACAGGAAAGGCCCAAGCAGTGGAGGATCCAACAAAAAAAGCTAATCAAAAGAACAAGGATGCCAAGACCTCTGCTGAAGCTGAAGAAAAAGAGGGTCATCCAAAGATGATTGTCAGTCAGTCAGTGGAGTACAAGCAGACAGCTGCCAAAACAGGTATAATGAAGCCACAGATGAGCGGAAGCCAGCCCTCCATTTGCTCAGAAACAGCCAAGGGGAAAGACCTGTATGACCTCTCAGAAGTGTGCCCTTGGGAATTGGAGGACTTGCCAACCCCCTCCGAAAACAAGGTCCAGAAACATGTGTCCATTGCCCCCGAGCAGACCACCACAGTCCATGGAAGTAGCAACAAGGCAACAAAGTCACAACAGCAAAAGCAGAAAGGCACAGAGCAGTCACCCTCTGTGGCCAGACATCCAATCCAGAAAGTTGCTGACAGAACAGACATATGTCCATGGGAGGAAGGAAATGAGGACCATGATCAGGCAATGGGGCCAAAACCTCACTCCAGTAGTAAGCCTGCTATGTCCCAACCCCAGGCATCAGGAGAAGTTGTCAAGGTTCTAAAAGCTGAGGTCTGTCCTTGGGATTTTGAAGAAGTGGCGAGCAAGCCAAGGGACTCGGATTGCTCCCCTGATCAGAGCAGACCAAGAAAGGACACCACACCAACTGAGATCAAAGGGAAAATAAGCTCCTCGCCTACGGAAGTCAAGGGCAAGGGTACAACACCTACAGAGGGCAAAGCAAAGAGTGTTCTCTCCGAGCCTACTAAATCCACGGGCAGCTCACTACAGCCACCCTCTAAAGTAGAAGTGTGTCCATGGGACTTTGAGACTGTGTCAGGTCCCATCTCTGAAAAAAACCCTTGTTCTTCTCAGGTTTCTAAAACAAAGGAGACCCATGCTATAAAGAAGGGAACTTCTCCTGTCAGAATATCAGAGATGGAAAGAGAGAACACAAAGGGCCCTGATGATGACAAAATGAAATCAAACGCAAAAGACAAGTTAACCTCTGGCAAAACGAAAGAAAGACCTGTCAGCCAGTCTAAACTGGCTGAGGTTTGTCCATGGGATGTTGATAGTAGTCAAGAAATTGTCTTAATGGAAAAACAAAAAAGCCCAAATGTTGCATTAGCAAAAAGCAAGCAAGCAGATGTATGCCCTTGGGATTTTGAAGATGCAGCAACTAGTAAAGAAGTCAACCGGAGCACCAGTTCATCCACTGGCAAACAGAAAAGTTCGAATTCCAAAGGCAGAGTTGCTAGTGGTGTTAAAATGTCAGATGTCTGACCTTGGGACTTTGGTGACCAAGGATCAACAAAAAAGGCATGACACTTTACCTGAGTGAACCGTTAGTTAGTCCTCATTATATGTGCTTTTTCTTTCATAAATACACCATGGAATAAAAACGTATTTATGGTGATTTGGAGAAAAAAAAATCAACATGTAGCACAAGCTGCCTTTCTCTTCAACCTTTTGTTTTCCCTTTGTGTTTTTTTGGAATAAAAGAAAAAAAAACACACAAAAAATCAAAAATGCAACAACTCACCAGGCATTCCAGATTTTAAAGTATTGGTTGAACCTTTAAATAGAAACGGTAGTTTACAATTATGCAACTCTTTATGTGCAATGTAAACAAAATGCCTATACGCACTACATGTATCCTCATTAACATTTGAACTCTCATAGCAGCTGCATCTGTAGCCTCTCCTTGACTGTGGCTTCCACAAAAGATTGTACAAGTTCCTGTTACATAGGAAGGTGTGGACCATGCATGAAATGTCATGGAGTAAGCCTGATCCATTTCCTTGTTTTCTTTGATTTCATACATTACTGTCTGGTTTGAGTAAAAGTGAACATTTGCCAAAGATAGAGGTAAAATCCAATAAATCTGAGAACTCAAACCTCAGCAGCATAATAGAGATACTACATTTGTACAGCCAAATTCATGCGGCTGCTAGAAAATTAGCCTGTAGCACTTTAATAAAGAATATGCTTAGAAAGACAAACGGAAAACTGGACAGAGCTCCATTCATATTTGCCCTTGTTTGTTTTTTGGCCTTGCTGTTTTATGCCGTTTTGCAGTGAGATCATATGTGAACATCTGCAACACTTTTTAGTTTTCTTGACTAGAAAAAAAGCTAGAAAAAAAAAATTACATTTCCAATGCTTCCAAATTTGCTGATATATTATCCTGAATGTGCCTATTTAAATAGTCCTGTACCAGTCTTACTTTGTATTGGGAGATGTGAAACCTTTGTCATAGCCCATGTTACAAATACTTAATGAAACACTTGATGAAAATCAGCATCTTATTTTTGAAAAGAAATGAAGTTTAGTTTATATATTAGTAATGTTGCAAAATTGTAAATGCTTTTCGAATGGGGTACGCTATGAAAAAAAAAAAAAGTCCACTACTCAATTCATGGGACCATAGATATTGTTTCTCTCGGCATAGGGCACAATCATCTGCCACTAATGTCTTTCCTTTTTGACTTTTACGATTAGAATACTCATGACAATGTATGAAATATCAAATTCCAGTCTATCTCATATCAAATTCTAACCCAAGCCTCAATTTCTTTAACATGTATCTGGTATCCTTTAACGTTTTATGATGGTTACATCAGTTTACAAATAAAAATCTTGCTCTTACCATGATGATTTTTTTTTGGAAAATGTAACAATTTCTTAGAAGAACATTCTAAAACATCCCCAGTGACCACTGATGTGAATTCAACAATGTATCTAAATTACTGTTGGAATGTTAACATATGTTGTATGCCTTCTCAGCACATGGTCATTGGTAATTATGTCAAGGTAATGGTGTGACAACACATGAGGCATGAACTCTTGTACAGGATGATGCCTAGTAATGAAATGTTCATATAAATATCAACATATTGAAATTGCGAACTATTTTGACCCAATTCTACAGTAACTGAATGGTTTTTAAATGTGTTGACAGATTCTTGTGTTTTGTATGTGCACAATATGAATCAGCAAGAATACAGAATAAATGGTTTTACCATGTATATATATTATAGCTACCAAAGAGGTAAAAAAAAAAAAAAATTTACATAAATATATAATTCTTGACATTCTGTAAAAATCAAATGATGTCACACTCCCATTTCTCCACAGTGGGGTAAATTTACTAATGACCTCTGGATCACAATTTAACTTATAAAACTCATATAAAAGTATCTTCCCATGCTAATATTTACACAGATGGGTCATTCCTGTTCTGCAGTATTTTTTTTTTCTTTAATACATTCACCAGACTTTCAGAAATATGTTCTGGTCAGGCTTGACATGATTAATTATCACTAAACTTTAATTAAAATTAACTTGATTATTTGCTCAGTGGAATTTATATGAAAAGAACAGAAATCATTGTAAAATGCTGATATTATAATACCAAATTCAAACAGCATAGAATGTTTTAAAGTGAGATAAATCAACTAATACCACAAAACATCACAGATGTTTCATCAGGTCTATTGCTAATACTCACAGGCGATGATGACCTGGCTTTTAGTGACATTTCAAAAGTGACATTAAATTTGACCTATACCAATTAGAATAATATTACAAACAATATAATAAATGCAACTGTTTGAAAAATTTTTTATTTGAGGAATAAGAAAAATTAGGAAGCATCTGGAATATTTTTCTATCAATTGCTTGTTTTTCATTTTACCTTAAAGAGTGGTTTCTACCTGATTTAACTCCTCAAAATTAGTTTTGTCAGTATAATGTAATATAGGTTGGTTCAATGATGTTAAATAATATTTTTAAAGACTTGAATCAAACCAGTTAATTTAGATGTTACTGTTTTTAGGTTACCGGTTTTTTTTTTTTCAGTGTAGAAGTGGATAGTATCTGGGGAGTTTAAAAATAATAATAATTGAAATTCATTCCATGTTAATTTAATTGTGATACTGCAATAAAAAAAAACTTGTAAGATTTCCATCTTTTTTAGTTTTATACAAAATGTATTGTCAAGTAAGAATGACCCAGGTAGTACTTTATTGGCTACAAAGCAGTAATCAAGCGAGAATCGCCACTTCCCAGATTTATGTAACCTACTCAGAATTTACAAGCCAAGATTTCTGCTATTCCCATCAGGATATGTGCACATGTATTTCTAGGTTAACTAAAGTGAACGTTCAGCAACCCATAGTTCAACTGCTCCTTAACTGTCTAGTCATCTCATACTCCTGTAAGAACAGAAGACTTTCTAGAGTCTGTTCTTAATGTATGCCTAAATGGATGTGTAAAATTGACCAACTTTGTTACATAGAGAATGTTTCTGGGAATGGTTGTTGTATCGTAGTGCATCCCTCTAGTTTACAAGTTTTACCCATCTGTAGGTCCTCAGTTGATCTCTATGTAGTATGATATAAGCACTCAACTCATGACCTGTTAATGTTAATGATAACCTTGCCTATTACATTGTCTGAGTGCAATGTTTAGTTCAGTTTTTGGAGTTTACAGAAGTGATAATTTATCTATTTATGACTTGATTTTGGTTATTTATCTCATTTACTTGGGCCCCACGTGTGTCCCAGCACTGTCACGTGTTGGGGGGACACTCCTACTACTAATGCGGTATTGTCTTAGCTCTAACTCTCGTTGCTTCTGCATGATAATGAGAAATTAGTAAGACTGATGTTTCACTGCCCTTGATAGAACTTAAAAAATAATCTTTGATCTTTATTGGACTGTTACAAGTTGTATAGTGAGTGAAACTGTGCCCTACCCACTGTATTATGTCCTTGTTATATTAAATGCTCTATGACAAGCTTATAGCATACACATATGGAGATATATGGTAGATTTATATTGTGTAATATTGTGATAGCATGTACATAAAAATACCTCCTCTGCAATAAATATTTCTACAAAAAGCAATTTTGTGTTGACTTAATGAAATCAAAATGAATGAAAAAAAAGTAAAGTAAAGCACCTTCAATGAGCCTTTTATAGTACTTTTTATTACTTTTCACAATAATCTGGTACATACTGCAGGTATTCAGGCCAGGAAATGCCTACTTTGACAACCAGATGTTTTTTGTTTGTTTTGTGACTTAGTCAGGTAAATCTGAAATCGATGATACACCCCATTCAATCTGTTGTACAGACAATTGCAAGTGTGGTCAAAATCTGTCCAAAAGTTAAGTAACCATTATTTTACAGATATGACCAACACAATCCCATGGAAATTCATAACTATTTTTAAGTTTTTGCAATTTTGGTGGCTAACACATATGAATTCATACAATTTTCTTTGTACGTTTTCGGTTTCCCAGTGACCGTTATGTTTAGGAGTTAGGGGTGTATCTTCATGCTTACTTTTCTTTAAAAAGAATACATTTGAATAATAATAAGAAATGATACCTCATAAACTAGTGTGCTCAGGGATTTCTTGTGGTCACACTTTATTTTAAGGTCCTATTCTCACTATATGACTTTTGCCTCAATTAACTCCTAATTACTGCTTATTAATAGTTAGTATAGTAGTTAAGTTTATGTTGCCTGTTGGGTAGGTTTAAAGGATGTAGAATATGGTCATGCAGAATATGTGCTTTATAAGCACTAATAAACAGCCAATATGCTAGTAATGTGCATGCCAATACTGTATACTGGCCATGTGCATACTTCAGCAAAATATGGTGCTAGAAAATCACAAAAATTTTGAAACTGTCTCGTCACCATTGCTATTACTGTCTCTGCACCGGTTGCTAATATTACTTTAGTCAAAAATAGCCCTAGAATTTCAAAACGTCGCAATGGTTATCCTTATGTCAGCGGTCACAATTTAAAAAACATGCTTCCTGTTTTCTGTACACACACTGAACGGTAATTTAGGGGATTCACTTGTGCATTTAAAGTCTGCAACTATCTGTTTTGTACATGCATGTTATAGATACTATTATGAACAATCATCCATATATATGTTATATTAATATTTAATCAAAATGTCATGACTTGATCTTCTGATGAAACAACTTCTCAATAGCGATGTATGCCGTACTTCACCGATCATTTAGTTTGCTTAAACCTGAAACAGTTCCACAAAGAGCCCTCATGATTGCATCTTACACCGTTTCAAATATGTTGCATTTGCAAAAATTCTTGACTGATTTTACATTGTCAGCATTTTTGCTTTCATTAATAATCACTGATCTCCCCACAAAGGCTCCAGCTAAGTGGTCATGGCCAATTCTCAAAGTAAATTTGTATCCTGGCAGTCTTAGCTCTTTCCAAGGTTTGTTTACTTTAAACTTAAAGGATGCCTTTAAAAGCCTTCATTGTAACCACTTTAGGATATTCATATGCATGTTTGGCTCATCTCCTGAAAAGCTTTTATGGAGATGCTGTAGTCTTTCTGACAGAGATCAATTGGTGCTCTGTATGGGGAAAGTGGATAAGACGATATCAGGTTCTTCCTCATATTTCTGTCAATAGCCAAGCTGCTGAGAAGATCAGACCAGTGTCACATGTATGTTCCTGTTGAGTTCCTGTTTTCCTTATTTGGTCCTTCCAGTTCCTTTTCACATTATTAGTATCACCTGTTCCTTGTTATTAGTTATCTCCATCACCTGTCTGCCCCTCGTTATCTACCCTATTTAGTTCTAGCCCGTTCAGTTCTCCCTTGTCTGGAATTGTATGTTGATGTCTTCTCCTCGTGCTA